TATTAACATGCACAGGCAGCAGGCAAATAGTTAAAAACCCTCTGCGGTGCAAGAGATAATTACGTGTCGGCTGGACAATAAAAGTAAAAAAAATAATAAGTAAACAAGAATCATATAGGGGTCATTAAACACCCCATATTACTGTAATGCAGGTATTTTACCTCCAATGTCTTTTACATGTTTAAAACTAGCAACTAAGCAGCCTTTGTGATGAGTCGGGGCCCTGATATTAACAGTAACAGGGTAGGACCTAATGTCCGCTCTGGCCTACACCCATGGACGATGAGTGGTGGCCCTAATAATTAATAATGGGGGAGAATCCAGTGTCTACCATCTGGCCCACACCCATGCAGATTGTTGGGGGCCCTAATTAATTATAAAATAGAGGAGTAGACATGATATTGTCCACTATTCAAAAGTCAAGGAACCCTTAAAAACCTGGGTGGCTAGAGTCCCCAAGCCCCTAGCCATCATCCAATTAAGGATAAATTCTGTGTAGCGGAACCCCCCCTAAACTGTTAATTGCCCTGCAATGTATGTTACTGTACTGACATCACTTTTGTGTGTTTCCCCTAGCTTGACCCTGTGTTTCATTCCTTGTGTTTTGTAGAACTAAAGAACTGCCTGTTCCCCGTTCGGGAGTACCGCCACGAACGGGACTCCATTCATCTCCCGAATGGGGACCACCATGAAATCTCATTTTGAATATGGTTTTAGAACGTTCGCACCTCGTAATGAGGTGTCAAAACCACAAGGGAAGCCTCGGCGCGTTCCGATCCTGGGTGGCAGCCCGTTTGTTAGACAAAAGCCATCCAGGGGGAGCATTTGCGGACTGCTTCACACCTCATTCGGTTCCCGAACGAGGACCTCCCCGGTTCCCATTAGAATGTTCACACCAATCAATTGGAACGTTGGCAACTCGCAACATAGTGTGAAACCGCAAGGGAAGTAACTGAGTGCTGCTCTGGGTGATCGGCGTTTGTCTGTACAGGGGGAGCATTCCCATACCGAAATAGACGGTTCCCTTGCCGAGCTTCACACATGGACCCCGCGAACGAAGACTGTTTGTTGCAGTTACTATTCTGGGCGTCCCTGAGATTGTTGGGGACATACTGTTTGGGCAATGGTGGAGGATGGCGGGCACTCTGTCACTGGGAGGTAAAGAGGCAGGAAGTTTCCCGCGTTACGACCACCAGATACAGAGACCTCTGGGAAGAAGACCCCTGGTGGGGGGGGTGCTGGGAGGGGACAATGAGTAACGGGAACAAGGGACAAAGGGACTGGAGTTCCTTTTCCGTCAGGGTATCCCTGGGAGTGGGAAGACGCTGGGAGGGGACACTGAGTGGTGGTAACAAGGGACAAAGGGGTTCCGGTTCTGTTATACGACCCCTGGGCGGGGACATTGTCTTCATGTGTTTTCCACCCCTTGCATGGTGAAAAAGTATAAAGCCACATGTGGCCAATAAAGATGTTGTTCTACCCCTGGAACTGTGTGTTGTCCAGTTACTGGGAGGAAAATGGGTCTGTTCATCCATTAATAGTGGTGGTAACAGGCCTGGTTGCCCAGGTTCCACTACATTGTGCCTTAATAGATGGGGCACAATAAATCAGATGTCTTATTTCTTCTTAAATCTCTTTTTTTTCAATCAGACAAAAGAGAGGAGGCCTCCATGAGTAAAGATAAATATAATATTCGCCTTGTAATCTTTTTTTTTCATTGCCTTTTTGGGGAATAAGGTATTTTTTTTTTGGTAGTTAATGGACTTTTATTTGGCCTTTTGAGAATCTATTTTCTTTTCATATATGGAATTTATTGTGCCTAGCCACCCGGGGGATTATTTAGGGGAAACTTAACTTTTAGGCCTGTGTACAATGGCAAGCCCACCATCTATTATTATTAATTTCCTCCACTTGAAAAACCAAAGAGTGGAGGATCCTCTACTGGAAACCAATGGGTGTGTCAAACTGTAAACAGTAAAGTATACACACTATACAAAGTAAAAGTAAAAGACCATATATTAGGGAGAGGTCCCAGGTGTACCTCACTAACACCTAAAACACATATAATCAAGAAACAAAGTGCAAACACCTCCCAATACGTGGTAGTATAGGAAAAATACAAATAACCTGAAATATAGGTCGTGATTCATGAATGGAATCTGTATAAAAAATAAAAAAGCTGACATAGCGTAATACAGTATTAAATTGGTGAGTGATATTTAATAGAAATAGGTGCACTCACAAACAGGCATGAAATCAGGCTTCTCACCCTCCCAGGGGTAGTAATGTGATGGATAGAAGGTCCTCCGTGGGATATATGCAAAATAAAGAACCAAATATAGTGAAGCATGTAATAAAATTACAAAGTTATATTTATTGGTCTCACTTACAAGTGAAGAAATATATTAGGCATATCTCCATACAACATGGAACTCCCAGACGATGCAGAAGTAGATCCAATAGAGCAGGCAGAATAAAAAGTATAAACTACATACAAGAATACATAATAAAATAAAATAAAATAAAATATAGCAGCATCTATGAACTTAAAGCATATGTCCAACGCGTTTCATCCAACAAAAGGGGACTTCCTCAGGGATGTAGATGTGATGATCCTCCTGGATATATATAGGGTAATATCAATAATCATCCTAAATTCGAAAACCCCGGTGTCCGGCGTGCGGCTATGGCGTGCGTTTCATCCGTGGAACGCACATAACAGGATGTAGTCCTTGCGTTCCGGCTGTGCTGTCATTTCCGGCAATATGAAACGCATATGCGCAGTAAATGCGCATGCACATAATAGACGCGCATGTGCGTAATAGACACACGTGCGCGCGTGAGATTACCGGAACCTATAAGGGACAAAAAATAGAGAAAACAGGGCGGATGATCCACCCAAAAAGCTCAAAACCAGAATAAAAATACAAATACAAATACAAATACACACATAGTAAATATATGCAATAAAATATACATTATAAAAATTACATATTGATATACTACACATGTAATCAAAACCAATTAATTACAATTATTGAACCAGAAGCATTCACCTAGACAAAGATTATTTCAAACCACAAATTATTTGAAATGAGAGGAAAACTCATACCACTCTACTTAGATAAGTGTCATTTAGATTAAATTACCGGTAGATAAGGAAGTTTTTTTGGAACAATCTGCAATTATAAAACAAAGATATATAGATAAGGGTTACAATCTCAAAATAATCGAGAAAGCGGAAACAGGGATCCTTTTCTCTGATAGAACCCTCTTACTTGGTAATGGGGAGCAAAGGGAAAATAACAGTGAAATGGTTCGATTTAATGGTAAAAATCAAGTAAAATATAACAAAAGTAAAAATAATAGACATAATTCTAATAACAAATTTGAATTTGCTTTTTTGACGCAATATAATTCTCATCAAAAAAGATAGAAAAAATACTTAAAAAACATTGGCATATCCTGAAGAGGGATGATGTTTTAAAACATATGCTACCAAAATTTCCTCCGGTAATTTACAAAAAATCAGCCAATTTAAAAAACAAATTGGCACCTAGTTTGTTACCGTCTATTCCTTCTTGCAACAATATATTAAAGACTCCAATATTAGGTTTTTTTAGTTGTGGACATTGTTCCACATGTAAATATCAAAAAAAGAAAATGATTACTTTTACAAGCACATATACAAATAAAACCTATAATATCAAGAAACATATTCACTGTTCTTCTTCCTTTGTTGTCTATTTACTACAATGTGGCTGTGGGGCTCAATATGTGGGCCGTACTTCTAGAAAACTTCATACTAGAATTTTGGAACATTTCAATAATATAAAAAAAAAGAAATTTGATCATAGTGTCCCTAGACATTGCAATACATGTCCGTTGTTTAAGTGGAACACTTTTCAGGCATTTGGAATAGATTCCATTAATTTAGGTTGGAGGGGAGGAGACAAATTACAAGAGTTAATTAGAAAAGAAGTGTTTTGGATTTTTAATCTGAAAACTTTACATCAAGGACTCAATCAAGAAATTGACTTACAAGGTTTAATATAAATGACACTTATTTAAGTAGAGTGGTATGAGTTTTCCTCTCATTTCAAATAATTCGGGGTTTGAAATAATCTTTGTCTAGGTGAATGCTTCTGGTTCAATAATTGTAATTAATTGGTTTTGATTACATGTGTAGTATATCAATATGTATTATTATTATTATTATTGCCATTTATATAGCGCCAACAGATTCCGTAGCGCTTTACAATATTATGAAAGGGGATTTAACTATAAATAGGACAATTACAAATAAACTTACAGGAACAATAGGTTGAAGAGGACCCTGCTCAATCGAGCTTACATTCTATAGGAGGTGGGGTGTAAGACACATTAGGACAGGAATGTGCAATCAAATAAGGTGGGCTGCCCTTTAGGAGAGGGCAAGAGACGGGTATGTGAGGTAGGGGTTAGTCTTGGAGGCCATAAGCTTTCCTAAAGAGATGGGTTTTAAGGCACTTCTTAAAAGATGCAAGACTAGGGGAGAGTCTGATGGCGGGAGGCAGGCTATTCCATAGGAAGGGAGCTGCCCGCGAGAAGTCCTGCAAGCGCGAGTTGGCCGTACGGGTGCGGACAACAGACAGGATGTGGTCACGGGAAGAGCGGAGAGACCGAGAAGGGACATACCTATGGATC